TATTATTATTATTATTATTATTATTATTATTATTATTATTATTATTATTATTATTATTATTATTATTATTATTATTATTATTATTATTATTATTACAGTGTTACAGTGTCTAAGTTCTGCCTTATCCAAATACAGTTTTTTTATCATAAATCATTGATTTATTAGCAAGTATTCAACTCTGAAAGGTACGAAACATGAACAATATTGGATAAAGAATAAGACAGGAAATAGGCTTCCGCATATAAATTTTTCTATAAAGTCAGAAGTAGTATCTTAAATAAACGAGTAGAATATAAATGATGAAATGACCCCTTTTGTCATACTTGTATACCTAATGTTGTGTTCAAACAAAAATCTCCCCATCATGGCATTATAAAGTGGGTCCAAACACCATTTGAAACAAAAAAACCAGAAGCTAATAATCTTAATTCGTTGCTAGCACAGTGCAGGAGTCAACAACTAGTAATGTGAGGACCTATCAATTGCATCAATAACTCGTAGTTCAATCGATTAGATCAACTAACAATTAGCCTATTTAGCAAGGTTTTAAAAATCGATTCGAAATCGGAACCGTTCTGGCTAGTGGTTTCTGGGTCGATGGTTCAATTAACTGATTCGAATGAACAGTTTATTCTGATAGAAAAATAAAAAATAAAAAATAAAAAAAATAATTAAATTTAAAAATGGCCAAAAAACTGTTGAACGGGTCGAACGAGCTGATGGTTCGATCACTCGGGTCAATGGATCATTGACTAATTTAATGGTTTTTGACTAAAGACCAGATTTGGGGTAAAACAGAACTGGTTGTCTGAACAATTTCCAAACCAAACAATCCAACCATTTGGATCAACAGCGATTCAAAATAACTGTTGTTGTCAACCATAAAGTTTTATTTGTTTGAGCTTATTCTAATTCTTAAATAATATATAGTACATCATTTCTTTGTGATACCTAATCATACATGATTGGCTGATGGCATATAAAACACAAATATGACCTAAAATAAAATAGAAATAATATACTAGTTCTTTTAGGTGATGTTTGGCATCAATGTCGTTTTCTAAGAAAACGGCACCATGTAGGCGCCACATCAGAGAAAGCAGTGCTTCAAACAACGCCCTCTTATTTGATATCATTTTTCCAGAAAAAAATATTGCTCCAGACCACGCCTTGAAAATCGAGAAAGTGTGGTATGGAGCAACACTAAATTCAATATTTTCTGAGGAAATGGCACGTTGCTGCCAGCAGTGCAATGATATGGCATCATATTGGACGCTGGATAATACAGATCAATGTTGAAAATGTTGATATCAATACGGGTACCAAACAAAACCAGTTCTGTATTCACAAAAAATGCATATGTGGCAGCACCGGTTCCAAACAAAAAATAAAACAGTACTTACAACTCCACATGCCAACACCGTTTTTATAAGAAAACAGTGAAATATTCCAAACACCGATGCCAAACACATACTTGGTCTTATTTCAATTATTAGTGTGCTGGTATGAAGCAAGATTTGAAGTACTGATATGATACACAAATTTGTGTATTGTAAATTTTTAACAATAAGTCGTTTCAAATTCATGGAGGGTTTCAAAAAAAAATGTTCGTTAAGATGGTATTTACCATTCAAAAAAATTAAAAAAGGTAGGATGAAGTAAGTAAAACAAATCTTTTAAAGAACAACATAGGCAGGTGGTATTGGTTAGATCAATTAAAGGAGGTCCATCCTGCTCCACAAAATCTTATGAATGGGGATAGTATTTGAACAGGTTTAGAAATATATGAACAATTAAATACATCTGAGGTCTTTAGATACATAATATGGAATACAAATTACAGATATATTTTTTTCCTTCTGTACTAGTTCATTTCAACGAAATTAAAATTGCATTTGTCATTAATATCGACTAATTCAACTCATGTTCGTTGCGATTCCTCTTCTAGTTATCTTCTCAATTGCAGAAGCAACAAAATCAGAAAACATCTTGACTTTTTACAATTGAAACATATAATACCTTTGCGTAGTAATCCTTCCAAACTCTGCGAGCGATCTGATGCCCTCCCAAATCGAAGGCCTTGAATTTGATTTTCCCGATGCTTAATTCTTCCGAGGTTGGATGCTGTGTGGGCTGATGTTGAATTAATCGCTGCAGAGGATCCAACAACAGCATCAAATTGAAAATAAAAATTGTATTATCGCATTAAAACAATGTCGATGGTTGGAGAAAGACAGGGAGAAAGAAAGAAAGAAAAGAAGAACCTCATCTTTCAACATGTGAAGCAGCGTCGTCTTTCCTGCATTATCGAGCCCTAGAAACAGGATCTTGGCCTCTTTCTGCCAAAGGCCGAGCGATGCAAGAATGTCATAGAACCAATTGAAGAAAAGCATTATTGCTGCAAATTAAACTCTGATTCCAACAAACCACTTGAAATTAATCTTAATCATACAAATGTTCTGTTTCTTATGTCTTTTCTTTCAAAACTGCCTCACACCATAGATCAGGAATATTTTGTGTGGATCCTCTTGTACTACCAAATCAGAACCAATTAGAAATGACACAATTGTGTGATGCTGATGATGCATTAAGGGGGCACATGTGCACAAATTTATGTCTTTGGCATTGATCGGTCCATTTCATTTTGGTAGTGTGGAATTTTTAATTGTCTTTTATCTTTTGGGAAAATTCCACTTTAGTACTCTTAATTTTGGGGTAGTGTCAAGTTAGTCCTCAAACTTTCAAATATGTCATTACAGTATTCAAACTTTCAAAAAGTGTCAAGTTAGTCTAAAATTGTTAACTGACGTTAAGTATCATATAAAAGGACAAAAATGTCCTTCACCTATCATCTAATTTTCTTTATTTCAAGAGGTACTGACTCTTCTAAGTTCTAACGCCTTGTTTGTTTTTTTTCTTCACAACAATGGCATATGGTTTTGCAGTTATGATTTTTCAAGAAAAGCTGAAAAAATCTTTGGAAGGTTTATTCAGATTTGTTTTAGTGAAAATTAACGAAACCTTACCTTTGGTGAAGATCTCTGCGGGTCTTGCTATAGAGAAGCTGAAGAGAACCCATCCTCAGGTAGAGACATACATAAGTTACTATGAGAACATTCTCTTATGTCGTAAGTGTCATGGGTTTCTTGCTTTTTCTGATACTAGTAAGTGTGTATATGCTTTTTCTGATACTATTATTAATCAGATTTGGATTGTACATAAACATCTCATCCAAATATGTGAAAATCGGATCAAATTGTGAATTTTCAAGTATCATTGATAAGCCTATTTGCTTTGATAGATTATTCTTTTTGTAATATTTAATCTTTTTTGTGTATCTTTTTTGTTTTAAAAAATGTAAGACTTAAATAGAAATAATTGAATAGGATGAAAAGTAGAACTTTAGATGTCCTGCCCATGAGAACTCTACCCACAACACACTACCCCCGTGAATTGGGAACATCTCCCCCTGCATAATACTATGTAGGAGGATGAGATGTTCTCCATATGTGGCTGCAATGTTATTTGGATAGAGTTTGTGGGGGCAGGAGATCAATTTACAAATTAAACATATTACCAAAAAATTACAATTTAAACCTTATAATTAAATAGAGACCAAATTCAAAATTGAGTATTTTAGTTTAAAAAAAAGTTTCACAAATTTTTCATATTTTTATTAGTAGTGTAAATATAGAATTATAGATATGTCCAATTTTTTTTACTTTTTTGTATTTTTGTGTGAATAAATAATTCTAATATGTCACACTTACTTTTTGTTTAATATGATAAATACATGATATTATACATGTGCCTAATTGTTTTTTTTTTTTTGCAAAATTTATGTATTTTTCGTTTTTGTATTTTTATATTTTATTAACTTTTATTATTTATTTATGGCATTAAAGGTTAACATGTTTGACCCAAAATTTGAAATATTGATCTTTGCCAAACATTAAAATAATTTTATTTTTGGTCAGTTCTAAATTATGTATTTAATTTTTATTACCAATAAAAACAATTGTTATTTATTACACTTATTTTTTAATTTGATTAATAAAAATATCACAAAGGTGTCTAATTTTGTCTACACTTTTTGTAAGAAATAGTCATAAATACTTATTTTATTGGTAATTGTTATTTATTACACTTATTTTCTACACTGAATATAAAATAAGTATTTATGACTATTTTATCCTTCAATTTCAAGCAAAGAAATAGAGGGTAATTTTGTCTACACTTTTTTAAAATAAGCACTTATTTTATATTCAGTGTTTGGTAGTCTTTTTCTCAAATAAGCACTTAAATAAGTATTTATGACTATTTTATCCTTCATTTTCTTTCAAATTTTCAAAATATACCCTTTGAAAGCACTTTTGTTAAATTACTTTTATAAAAACACTTTTATGAAAGTACTTTTATGAAAGCATTTTTGCGAATGCATTTTTATAAAAGTATTTTTATGAAAGCATTTTTACGAAGTATTTTTATGAAAGCAATTTTACAAAAAATACTTTTATAAAAAGACTTTTACAAAAGCACTTTTAAGAAAGTACTTTTACGAAAGCACTTTTAATAAAGTACTTTTATGAAAGCACTTTTATTAAAGTGCTTTTACAAAAACACTTTTGAAAAGTACTTTCATGATGCTTTTGTAAAAGTGTTTTCATAAAAGTACTTTTATAAAATTCAACTAGGGATAATTTTACAAGTGGTATTTTAAAATTCTACTAGGGATCATTTTGGAAGAAAAAATTGAATAAGTGCTTATTGTATAAGCACTTTAAAAAGTTGGAATTTTGGGCTTAAAAATAAGCCCTTATTTTTAAAATAATCACTTATTTCATACTTATTTCTCAAATACCAATAAGTGCTTAATGGATCAAATAAGCTTTTATTTTGAATAAGCACTTATTTTAAGCACTCCCAAACATTGCTTAAAAATATTTCACATTGCATTCACACTTTATATGTATAGATTATGGCTTAAGATCAAAGAATAGTGACCAAAGAAGATAATGAAAGCCCCGGAAGAAATTACAAGATTCCTAAAGCTGATTTTGAAAGAAATCCCAAAGCATACTTCTCAAATAACAAATCGAAGAAGATTAGATGATGATGATATCGTCTTATGTGTTATGGTGTTGTTTTATGGGACTGTTGTGGTCTCTTTGTTCCTTTTCTTTTCTTGGTGACCTCCTCAATATTGAGCTATAGTTTTCTCACCTTTCTTTCTGAATTTCTTAATGTAGTGCAACCCAACTTTGCACCATTGTAATGTTTTTTAGTGCAACCCAACTTTTCTTGATCTCTTTGAATGATTGATGATCGACCAAACGAATGAGTTTGCAACGTCTAATCATTTTGAGAACCCATGTTTCCATGTTCATCACTTGATGGATAGGTGAAGAACGTAGAATGTTATCACTCCTTTATGGTATTCTGTATACACAGTCCGGTGCGACAATTCATCTTCAATATTAAAAATGAAAAATTGCGGATATTTCAAAAATTGAAGATGCAGTTCAATAGGTTTTTCTTCTTCATGAATTTCGCTTGGAGGGAGAACCTCTGTCGTTAATTAAAAAACCAGAAAACGATAGTGGTTTTACACCTCAACCGTTCAGTCTCATGGTAGAAGACAATGAATAGTGTTTTTATTTTTAAGGTTAGTTTTGACATTTTGAAATTTTTTGAGTTGCTAATATTATTACGTGATCAGAGAATTGGAAATCGATTAACAGCAGAGACCAACTTGACATTTTTTGAAAGTTTGAGTACTGCAATGAAACATTTGAAAATTTGGATATTAACTTGACACTATCCCCAAAGTTCAGGGTAATAAAGTGGAATTTTCCCTTATCATTTTTCCCTTGGCTTCACACCCAAACCACCATAGTCATTTTCATTTTGAAGAGGCCTCAACGTGTGTATAGATGTCAATGGGTTGCCTTGCTTGACCCAACTAAATAGAGGGGTAGGAATAAGCGACCAATAAAATGCTTCCAACAAATGCTTACTTGTGACTCATGAATCCAGATTTAACTGAATACTTTAGCTGTGTAGCGGGCTGTGGAACCAATAATAATGCCCCACAGTAATGATAAAATACATAGGACCCATAACAGGGGTTGAATGATTGTTGCTAAAATGGCTTGTAGATATTTGAATGAAGATGATACGCTTTGGGTTAAATTACTTAGGCTCAGTTTGGAGGAGTACAAATTACAAATATATAGAGCAGGGGTGAGCTTTATTCGATTAAAACCAAAAAATTGAATCGAAAATTTTGGCTTCGATTTTTTCAGTTCAGTTATTTCATTTTTGGTTAATTCGGTTTATTTATTTTTTTTGTTTTTAAATATTTCAGTTTCAATTTTGGTTTTTAGAATTAGAAATTCGATTAACCGAGAAAACTGAATTAACCAAACTCTGCTATACAGCATGTAATATATAATATATAATATATAATATATAACATATTATATTTAATATATAATATATAACATATTATATTTAATATATAATATATTTATATATATTAATATAAAATATGATCTCATAATATATATTTATATATTATATGTTATGATATATAATATATAATATAGTAAATATATTTTTGAAATTCAGTTTTAACGGAATCAAAATTTTCGATTTTAATTATTTCAGTTTTCCTCTAATTCAATTTTAATTCGGTTTTTAAAATTTAAATTTATTCACCCCTATTATAGAGTGCAAATACATATAACATAATGCAAAATACAATGTTTTATACTTTACATATTTGTATTTGCACTCCTTCCAAAATGATCGGGTGCCAACTGCTTCTCATGATTGAAAAGCCATTGGAAAAGGCAATAATAAATTTGTATGATGAAATTGCTGTTCAAATTAAGAAAATTTCTGAGATTAACGTATGGAATTTACTTTGGATCGTATCCAATGGTGGGTATAACCTATAATGCCCTTATTTGGTCCTCAAAGAAGAATCCAGTTTCTTTGTCTATTAAAGATTTTTTGATTGCTAATAACTTGAATGAGATTTTCTCAGATTTTGTAGTTCAAAATGTGTTCAATAGTCAATACTCACGTTTTAAAGCAGATCAGCTAATAAGGTAATTTGGACTATCTTTGAGAAGGGTGTCTTCACTATAAAAGAGTTTTGTATTAGAGAATGGTTGAAATGTGGCTTAAGACTGAGTGATGAAAATATGGAAATTGAAGATTACTCCTAAAAATATATATTTTTTTAGATTATGTAGATGGTTCATTGCCTCATTGGTATTAGGTGTGGGTTAATGACTTTGAGCGAGTTATTTGGAAATATGGCATGTATTGTGGGTTATTTATAAATACGTTGATTAAACTATCACATTGGAGAAAAAAGGATTATATAGATTCTTTCACCTCATAAATTTTTACTATAAAGGGGGTGTTGTAGCATTGATAGGGTTTGGGACCATACATTTATAAACCCAATTGTGAGAGGAACAAATCATAAATTTTCCTATATTATAATGTGATTAAACTATCACATTGGAGAAAAAAGGATTATATAGACTGTTTTATCTTTTTAACTCAATTTTCTAAAATAATGGTTCTCACATGTTTTCGACTTTCTTTCAACAAAGTTCATCTTAGGAGTGTCTTGAAAATGATCAATTCATCAATGCTTTGATAATGATTTTGTGCTTAAGAATGGTTCATCATTATGATATTTGTTGTTTTTGCCTATTAGTCTAGAGAATATTGAATGGGTAATTTAATAATTTTACTTTCACAGTTTAATCCATTAGTGGGTTAGGCAGCAAAGCTCTAGAATTAAGGGTCTTTATTCAAAACAATTAAGCTCGAATATTCTACCTACAAGTTGTTCCCACATCCCTACCAATGGGACATTACATTTGCATATTGGGAGTATCTCCTTTGTCATTTATAGGAAGATATCCCTAATACATGCCATGAATTTTTGCATCGATGGGTAAGTTATTTACCCAAATCTAAGGAGGGTAGTCCTTGCCCAAGTAAATGAGGCATTCAAGAATCATTCTTTTCCTGTAGAATCCACTAGGCCAGTAATACTAAAATACAAATGCAGATTTATTTCTTTTTCATGGAGCCCACCAACTTACCTAAATCCACTTCCCTTCCCACAAAATGAATGAGGCCTAAATATAAGATGGCTATTTGGGAAATTTATGATAGTAGAATATATTGAACTAATGTTTTAAAAAACAATCTGGAACTAGAACTATTATAGCCATTGGTTTTTGGGTCAATGGTTCAATTGTCTAATTCAAACTAATAACCCGTTTTGACAAAAAAAATAAAATAAAAAACGATCAAAAACCATCGAAAGGGCCGAATAGGTCTACAGTTTGATCACTTGAGTCAATAGGTCATTGATCAATTCAATGGTTTTTTGTTAGGGACCATATTTGGAGTAAAACGGAACTGGTTGCTTGGACTATTCCTAGACCAAATGGTTCGATCGTCTAGGTCAATGACGATTCGAAAACCATGTATAGAACCCATTTCGAAACCCTATCTCTAATTTATCAAAAAAAAATCTTTTTTTTTTTTTATTTTGGCCGGGGCATATTGTTGTGATAGTGTATGGATATCCCCCCCAATACCCTTCTTCCATCAAAATTTAATTATGATGTAGTTATAATTATTTATTAAAAAAATGATTTTATAATAAAATATATTTTACATCTAAAATATATATTGCAATTGGTAAAAATTAAAATTCCATTATTTATTAATATCAAAAAGATATTTTTATAACATTTAAATTTTTATTTGATTTTTGTTACAAGAACCTACTTCCTTTCTAACTTTTCATGCCCACCTTTAATCTCATATAATAAGAAAAAAAAAATTATCCATTACCCCGAGGGTTAGTATTTTAATGAAACCGCAGCCCGCAGGGGAGGTACCAGGTATAGGGCTAATAGTTAAGTTACCCCAAGTAGGGTTGTTTTCGTCATTCGAAATGGTATAAGAGATAGGGTTTTGGACAACCGTATAAATCGTATTTCGCGAAACACAGATTGTTCTTCTTCACTGCGGAAACCCTAACCCTAGAAGAGTTGCGAGAAGGCCTGCTACTCTCTTCCTCAGGTATGAGCATCTTCACGTTCTCTAAATGCTGCTCGGAAATCAGAAATTGACTCTTAATTTGTGAATTATCTTGATAAATCTTTTGATTTTGTATTCAGAGACATGGCGAAATCAAAGAACCACACAGCTCACAATCAGTCCTTTAAGGCCCATAAGAATGGGATCAAGAAGCCAAGGAAACACAGACACACTTCCACCAAGGGGGTATGATATTTTATGTTTTAAAATTTCCGTTGTCTGGGTCTTACTGTTTATAAGCTCTTCTTTGGTGTGTTTCATGGTTTTCATGTTTATCTATTTGCATTGCAACAGATGGATCCGAAGTTTTTGAGGAATCAAAGGTACGCGAGGAAGCACAACAAAAAGAACGGGGGATCAGGGAGCGAGGGCGAAGAGTAAACACAGAGCCATGGAGGCACGAGGGTTATTTTAATTAGAGTTTCTTTCAAAATCTAGGTTTCTGTTTTTTCCTAAATATATCCCCCCGGAAAGATGGTTTCATGGCGATGGACTGATTCCATCTGTTCATGAGATGGTAGATCTCCTGTTGTTATTGGTTACATTTTACTTGCAAGTAGTATTGACACCCTGAATGTTGTTTTTTGATTGAAGTGATCAATGGCTTTTACTATCTGAGCATATACGTTTCAAGGTGTTCTGTTGGATAGTCCTTCCTGGGATGCAACTGAATATAGAACGAGCTTAGTCTTTGTTATTTCATTCGTTAGACAACTTTATTATATCCCTCGTCTCTGCGTTTGCGTGTATACTGGTGTGGGAATGGTGGGTCTTGTTCGTCTCTCTACCACATGCCCCTCTTATCAGCTCTGGCCGGTAATTTGCTTCTGATTATACTTGAATACTATTTTTTTTTCTGCTAAACAAATCCATTCATTAAAATACTAATCCGCCTGATCATTAACCCACCCTGAGTCTAAACTCTTTGCTCTCTTAGTCTTTGATATAATTTGAGATACTTTATGATTAGCAACATCAAAACATCTGCAACTCTCTCAGTCTAAAGATGACCTTGAAGAGCTTTACAAAGCCTGTGGTGGTAAGAATTTGTTTCCAGAATTACCCGACGAAGATTTGAATCATTACTGAATGTCTTTAGCTGTGTTTGATTGCTATTCTTCTACCATTTCATCATGAGTGACAATTCAGCAATTCATTATAGTTTCAAATTTACTGAAAATTTTGATTAGGAGTATGGGGTCCCAACTCCCAACCTCGTTGGGTATGTGGCACCATATTTCAGGCAATGGTTAGTATGATGCCTTCATCTTTGATAGTAGAAGTTGTAAGAAAAGGGTCTGTTTAATGATGTGAAATTCGGTGTAAGTTCAGTGTGGTGGCCTCGATTATGGGCTGGTAGTCTGTCCATCGAGGTTTGTATTTTTTTTGTTCTCTTTTGTTGTGTGGATTAAGGAATTTCTTTCACCCAGAAGAAAATGAGGGTCCGTTTGCAGGAATAGGGGTCTGGAATTGGAATGCGCTATTTTGATTCCAATTGATTGGTTGGACAGAATTTGGGCGAATGGCATTCCTCCATTTGAGTGTAAATCCCATTCCAGCTGAGTCCAATTTTCATTTCGACCCCTATCAACCTAATAGACTGTAAATAAACCATTTTGATTACGATTCCTAGGATTTCAATTCCGATTCTAACTGCTAAACAGAGATTGGGCTGGCTCCCCAACCTGGTGTAATGTGGGCCATGTACCGTGTGCCACAGTGCCACGCCATGCCAAGCACGGGCAACACCCTAGTCTGGCTCGCCCTGTGGTTTAAGGCCTATCACCTATGGATCAGCATTCAGCACGGTTAATGGCACGAGCAATACAAGAGGGGTGTTGATCGTAATTGCACCAATTATAGGAAATAAAATATATTTCCTCATAAGAATTATTTCTTTTTTGGTATTCACCATTAATAATTTCCCCCTTGCCCCATTTTTACTAAATTGCTGGTTGCGGGATTTGATTCTATGTCAACACTGGAACAAACCAATTAATACACCGAGTCAGCCCTGGGTTGGTTCTTCATAAGAATTTAGAAAGCAACATTGAGCTGCATCGCTTCCAAATAAATCTAATAAATCCTTTTCTGGTTGCTAAAGTCCAACGTGCTTTTCTATGTCTGCGATTTAAACTTTGTTTTTTTTGGTACATCGGAAGTCTAACAAAGGCGAGAGGTAGAGCTGACCCACAGATCCCAAGGCCTGATTCTCTCAATCACTGCTCGACAATTATTGCAACTAGTGGATCTATCACTAGTAATGAAATCAGCAAAACAAATTAGTTTCGGAAAGAACATGATTAATTCTAATGATCTTGCCACTTCTTTTAATTAGCTTCCTAATCCTCTCAATACTCCATGTGGTATGTCGTCTGAGCCTCTGACTTTCAAGGCTTCGACAATTATTTCGGAATCTCCTTCCATGATGATATCATTGTGTTTCAAGTCTAAAGCCATTCTAATAGCATTTTTGGCTGCTAATTCTTCTGCCCTTAAGATTTCACATGTGCCCAATGTCTGTTATTTAAACTTTGAAGTTCTGGATTCCAACTCCTATGACAAACAAGGAGTATAGAATCAGAATTGAAATGGCCCATTATGATTTTAGCTGTTTGGTTGGATCATGGATGGAATGAAATTCTGATTTCCATTCCTAGCTGAATGGCATTCCCCTATTTGAGGGAATGATGAATGATCATTCTTACCTCCCTCTTGGGAATGAGAATCTCATTCCAAATTTGCCAAAAAAAATTAAATATTTGGGCAAATTGCTGAAATATCCCCTGAAGTTTTTCACTGTTGCTCAAACCTCCCCTGAAGTTTGGTAATTGCAGTTACCTTGCCTGCACTTTTTGACAATTGCAAATTGGCCCCATTTGTTAAAATACTTTAACAAGAGGCATGAAAATGGTCCAAAATACCCATACAGTTACTATTGAGTCTGGTTTCTACAGTAAAAACAATACGAACTTTATGAACAAAAGTGTATAAAGTTGTAATTTACCTTTGAGTGATTGGTGTGAAAGGACACGTTTGAAGAAAAAAATCAATCAGAAAAGATATATTGGAAGGGCTTGCGTAGAAAATAAACATTTTAATAAAAAATAACAGCACGAGTGTTTTGGACATTTTGCATCAACTTTATACACTTGCAACCGTATCAAAAATTTCAGAGTTTTCAGCAAGTCAAAAACTTAAGGGGAGGCAATTTATCCAAAAAAAAAGATCGACTTAAAAGCCCTCCAAATCCTCTCTTTACCCAACACCAACCCTCCTTGGGAATCATGCACATCTTAAAGTCCGAATTTGATTCCTCTAAACAAAAGCGGGGTAGGGGGATAGACAATTTCAGTTCTCATTCTAGGGGATTTTGATTCCAATTCAACTGGCAATTAAATGAACCCATAATATACACGTATGGGAGATATTCCCAATGTGCAGTATTTTGACAAAAAATCGGTTGAGATCACACCAGTGAAGAATTTCGGTCTGACCAATATTTTTCTTTTTTTCCTTTGCATTTAACCTGGCAATTTAGCATCCTCCTTCCAATATCCTCGTTTCTTCATCCTTCTGCAAGTCCGTCTCCTTTTTCCCTTCCACTTTTCACTCCAATGTTCCTATTGAAAGAGATTAGTGATGGATACAAAAATCCTCAATGTCCATTCCCAAAAGATGCAGGTATAAATATAGTTGGCCATCATTCCCACTTGAAACCCCTTGTATAATGACTAGTCAAAACTTCAGGAAAATCAACTTTTCTGCACTCTCTCGCTGAGCCGTAAATCCAGAACCAAAACTTAGCACGTTCAAATTCAATATTTAAATTGAATTCAGAAAACAACCAGAATTCTTAAAGATTTTGCCTGAGTTGAATTTGTTGTTTCCATTGCCGTTCCATATACTTGCTCTGGATCTAAATTGTCCTAGGCTGGGCTTCGGTTTATGCAATCGATCCAGGTCCAACCATGGTTTTACAGGCCCACACCTGGTCATGTTGAATTCCTTTTTGAAAAGCACTATTTCCCCAACGTTACGGGCCCTTTTGTTAGTTTACAAAAGTTGAGGCAAGGGTAAATTCTAGTGCAATTAGTTCAGAGAGATTACTATACGGTCTTTGAACTGGACAGTAAAATGTCTACCAGGGATTACTAAATATTAATAAGATTAAATAAGAACTTGATCACAACGTTGCATAATTTAATAACCATTAAAAGATAGTCAAATACAACATGGGAACCACTTACTAAGATCGACAAAATTGTAATCTCGTTCTTCTTGCAATGTTGGCGAGAGTTGCTACACCTTTCGTGCTGTTGCACTTGCGCTGATCTCTTATGAGAGGATACGCAGCTTCCAGAGGCCCCCTATTACAATGAAGCTTCTTCACAAACTTATAACAAATTTTGGGAATCTTTAAACTGCCACTGGCTCATTGACTGGACTAGAAACACTAGAGTTAACCTGCCCCAGAAAAAAAATGGAAAAGAATATTGAAAAGGGGGAAACAATAAAGACTTCTTTCATTCCCCTTAAACAGGGAATGGTTTCTTCAATATATAGAAACTTGGCAATTTGGATAGGCAAAAAACAAGGACACGATGAAGACAAGCTATTTATTCTGCTATAGAAAGATTTTATGAACTCATTAAACCAATAAGGAAATATCTAGAGTATGGGAGGACGCCTTCCACCCTGGAATCATCCTATGTAAACACATTAGGTGGCACCATTTGGGAGATTGCCCACGCATTTGGAATGTTTACCATCTCATCTATTCCATTCTTTCAAGCCTTTAGAGTGAAACTATTATTAACTGCAACAATTTAAACAGTTACAATATAGAAGCAGTCTTGGTCAACAAAGTCAGACAAATACCTTGGCCAATTTAAACAGTTCATCAAGCACTTCGGACAAAGTTGGATGTGCATGAACAGCGAACTTTATGTCCTGAATGGTAGAAAAGAAGCAAACACTTACAACCATGATCCATGAGATGACTTAACACTCATTTAGAAAAGGAGAGACTACTTGGCCCGTACAAGGGAAATCATTTGAAGAAAGATGAGATACACCAGAAGTTGAGTCTAGCATTTTAACATTACGGTAGCCTTTTTTGGTGAGCAACGTCAATGGTAGCTCATATTTAAACTAAAATTACTTGCAAATTACAGGAATGACAAATAATGTAAGTACAGATAGAAATCATGTTATAGAACTAATAGAGTAAATCTCACGAAACCATTTGGCTTGGTCGATGCCTTCTGTAAGGGGAATCATATTAAGGGAGTTATTCCATGACACTGACTCAGCAGAATTCCACTGAAAATTTGTGTCAGTTTGTAAGCATAGAAGAAATCTATTGTTGTTGTTTGTTTGTTTGATTGATGAGTTACTGCAGACATGTTTCGTTTTTAGTTTTTGGTGAGCATCATCCAGTACTTTTCAGCTTCTTTTTGTACAACTGTTCACGAGATACCATCAGGTCCTCTTATTCCTCTCTCGTGAAGGATTTCAATCCAACATTGATATCTTTGTTGTGTGTGTTTTGCTAACATAGTTGGTGGGTTGTTTAGCACCCCAGCACCTCCCCCCAAGAAATAAATTAAAAAGAAAGAATAAAGAAAACATTGGTATGATGTTGCTTAATCCAACATGTTACAAAGCCCCATTCAAGACTTCTTGGTTAATGCAACTCAAAATCATTTAAAGCAGAAATTACCTGAATACGCGTTCCCAAGGTTATTGCATTAGATGCTTCATGAATGAGGTCTGCAGCATGAATCCCAAAAATATGAACCCCAAGAATCTCCCCATTGTCGGGCCTGTAAATCAACTGCATAAAAAGTAGGGAGGTCTTATTCTGTGTCGAACTACCTTAATCTGGACCAATGGAAAGAACAGAAAACAAGTTGATGATGATGATGGTAATAATAATGGTGCAGATATGTATACAATAAAAATTAAACAAACAATTCCTGAAATCATTAAGGTAACTAGTAACTCCATTGAGACCCCTGAAAAAGAGGAAGATAGTTGTAGAACTTTACAGTTCTGCACAAAAGCAATATCTATCTATCTATCTATTAATTATGGTCTCAACAGGATTCTTTCTATGCTAACACGTATAAAAGAATACAAGGACAATTTCAATTATTATTGTTAGTGCTGTTATTATTATTGATAGCAAGGTTCGAAATATCGATATGTATCGGGCCGTATCAGGGACTTCCCAATACGCCCCTACAGGGGGTGTTTTGGGGTTTCGACCAGTTCAGAGGGTGGGCGGACCTTAAACCGGCCCCTCTGAACCAGATTCGGAAAAAAAAAAAACTAACTAAAAAAATAATAAAAAAAGCTATCGATAGGCGTATTGGGCGTATCAATATTTTGAACCTTGATTGATAGTAAGGAACTAAGGATAAAAAAATGATTTAACTCATAACACCCCATTATTATCATTATTATTATTATTGAATACAAAGCATTTTCCATTCAAGAAGGTCGACCTCCTCTCTCCAATTCTTTGTTTTTTTCTTTATTTTCACTTTTGAGACTTGAATTATATTGAATTCTAGTGTGTCTCAACCTGAAGGAATTCATGGGACCCACATAATCCCAGGTTGTTTTTAAGAACTATATAATGGCTGTAACCTTTTGTATGACAAACAGTCTTTCTTCTTTCTTATTTTCATTTTTGCCTCTGCATCAGGTCTGATTCTTGTTGGCCTCAAATAGCACACAAAATTGTGTATGGCCTCAGATTTATTACCACAGTTGCATCAAGTAGACAATCAAGATTAAAAAAAATAGCCTTCCAAAAGAATTTTTGGAAAGTTATGAACCTCTGGTGTCAGGTCTTGGAGGAGTTTTAGCTACAGAACATATTTTGACCACCCACTTGGAACCAGTGGAAGAGGGCACTTAGCACTACCAAGGAATGAGGGTTGTGAAGCACTCTTCAGTACAGAAATATTGTGGTGGAAGGCGACTCAAAAGCGGTGATTGGGTGGTTTCAAGATAATAGTCTTGGGCCTTGGCAACATTGCCACCTAACCAGGGAAGTAAAGCAGCTGGCTGAGGACCTAAATGCAACCTTCCATTGGGTTCATTGATCAGTTAATGGGATAGCTGAATAGCTGATACACTAGCTAAACAAGAAGCACAAAGGAATCAGATTTTCTGGGGGAAATATCCGATGGGGCGACTGTTAAAAGAAAACTATTAGAGTTGTAAACAGAACAGTAGGCAGCAGACATTGACCTTAGTTCTCATGGTGTGCAAGGCACACATTCTTTTCCACATTTAATAAAAGTACTTACAGTTACCCATCAAAAAAATATCAATTGACCTAGAAATATTCTTATCCATGCAAATTTAATTATCTCCATCTACAATTCAAATAACTTCATAAAGAATTCAACCATCACAAAATACCTGCCATATTGCTTCTGCACATGAGTAATAAATAAAGAAGACAAAATTTCAAAAAGATCTCACCTTAGCAAGCCCTTCTCCTTCATTCTCCGCTAGGGCCTTTGTATTAGCCTTAAAACTTGTCTTGGCAATACTTATTTCATAACCTTCCTTTTCTGCTCTCTCCCTTGCTTGAGGCTGCAAAACTTCACATTTTCTTATTCAGATTGAGACTAGATAATAAAAACAAATGGTCTAAGAAAATTTCATATTCCAACAAACTAGCGATAGAAGGCAAGAGCGTTGAATACATGATAATGTTAAGTAATATATGCAAGACACAAAAAGAAAAAGAAAAGTCAAAGATGTTAAATCAATTACAAGCATGCCAATCTATGGCAAGCCTCAAGCTTTTTCCCCATAAAACATGCTTAAACATCTCAATTTTCATATAGTTCCTATACAATAAACCCAAGTAAGTTAACAATCATGTGAACTGCATGGTTTTTGAGAGTTTATAACTAAAATACTTCTGTCCATTATAGGATTTATTTTTCTTTCTAAGGAGTTCTTTTAGTTTTATGTACAAGCATATCTTTTGCTGTAGAAGGCTTCATATATTCTTGATGGTGAGAACTCCAACCATTCTTCAAGAATTACAGTTTATTTTCTAGTTTCTTTCTTTATACCATTTCTTTCACTTGTACTGTAAATCTTTGATCTTGATTTTGAGTTCCTGAAACTACACATCTTGAAAAGACGTGGATTCGATTCCCGCAACCAACTATGGGGAGGGGGTTATTAGTGTGGTGCGTATCACCACATATAACTTGATTTTGCCTCTTCAAGTCCAAGGCAGTGCAAAACTATATACTAGTTTAGAGCCAAAATACAGGCAAGTAACTTGTGATTCTAGTTATTTTACTTTAAATAGAATCCTCTTTAAGTACTGGTTTTATCTAACAATTATAAAGGAGATAGAAGGGTGTAAATAACTTATTTTCAATAAAGACTTTTCATTTAGAAGATGCAATTTCTTGTATGAATGAAAGAACTCAAAATAAACTGATTGGAGCTAACATGAATGGTTACCACACTATAGGGTGTAGACTAACAGATGAAATGTGCTTAACAAATGCCTTACTAACAACATAAGTACATGTTTAGCATAACTGTTTGATACTGTGAATCTGTGATGTGATAACAGAAGGAATGAATTGAATAAACATTGCATTAAAACCAAGGAAATGCATCTCCGGTATATTTTCCACATTCATAGGAGTGCATCTACGTTTCTGCTTCATGAATATGATATTTTATGGGCATTTCTAATAATATCAAGTTTTACTCCTATTTTGCCATTTCTAATTTCTGGCGTTTTGGCTCCGATTAGGAAAGGACCAGAGAAACTTTCTAGTTATGAATCGGGTATAGAACCAATGGGCGATGCTTGGTTACAATTCCGAATCCGTTATTATATGTTTGCTCTAGTTTTTGTTGTTTTTGACGTTGAAACGGTTTATCTATGTATTTCCTATTGAAATTTCTCTGCTATCTAAACAGGAAAAAGATTATATAATGCAGTATGTTGGGAATTCAATACCGAAAAGCATACTAAAGTGCAAAGTTAGAAAGCTAGCATTTTTTTTTTTTTTTGAAAAAAGTTAACTAAAGTGCAAAGTTAGAAAGCTAGCAATTCACCTCTGTCAAACCAACAAAACTGATTTCCGGGTGAGTGAAGCAGGCCGCGGGGATGCTCAAATGGTTCAGCACATGATCTTTTCCAGAGACTTGTTCAACAACTATTATCAGAGAACAATGCAAGGGCTCAAATGGTTAAATATTTAAATGCAAACATACTTAATACTTGATTGAGAGGAAGCAGAACTGCAGAAGATAACCAGATTTTACCAGAGATCCCTTGTGCACTTGCAGCATGAGCAAGCATCATTTTCCCATTTGCATCACCAATGCAATAGACATGGGGAACCTGATTAATATAACTTCATGTTAGAAATGGTTTCTAACATGGTTTCCGTGTTAGAAATGGTTTCCAGTAGTAGTAGTAGTAGTAGTAGTAGTAGTAGTACCAGATTGCCATTCTTGTCAATTACTCTCATGCGCTCATCAACAGGAACAAAACCACGTTGTGTCTCCACATTAATCTGCAGATAAGCCAAGTTTATAAACCAATTAATCTTGTCCTTTACAAATGGGTTTGGATAAAAATCTGCAATAGAATTCTAATGCACTTACATTCTCCAAGCCAAGACCTTTTGTATATGGCGCCCTTCCAGTTGCAATAAGTGCAGCATCAACCTACAGCAACAGTGTAATAGACTTTTGTTATGAACACGATAGGGTTGTCTAGAGACCATGATACTTTTGCTCTTTCTATCTCTTCCCTTTTTTTTCTGTTGGAATAGTTAAAAGCTAATATCATGGATTGGGCATATCATGTTCATTGTAATGCCCAACAATAGACACTTCTTGTCAGTGATTTAAAAGGCACACCCATTTACAGAGGCAAGGCGCATTCTAAGGCCCCAGATGCAGCACTTTCAAAAGGTGCATGCCTGGTGTGCCTTGTGCTTCAGCCCAGGCGTGCACACTGCACCTTTTCAAAATATGCGCTTTTTTTTTTTTTCTTTTTAAGCCTAGTGGCTGGGCTTAGCAAATAGGGGGTTCTTGGAGCTTCAGTGAGCAAGCAAATCGGAGTGGTATAAACTGAGAATTTGTTTAGATCAACATATAATCAGCCAACAGAACACTACTCATAAGTTAGTTTTTCTTGCATTATCTAACTATTTAGTAATCCTTTTCTTTATTTTTTTGGTATTTTTATACTCAGTTATCATATGATAGATTTGTTGTTTATTTTCTCCAGAAGCTATTATACTGCCTTTACTTTCTGTGTCCCCAGGATCAAAGCAAGAGCAAGAGTTGAACGAGATAATTGCAGGTAGCAATGGTCATATCCATGTACGTCAGGTAATTGAAGATTACCTCTAGTGTATCTCTTGGTTCCTTTGTCTTTGCATCAATAAGCTCAATAATGACAGGTTTTCCATCCTTTGCTGGAGTGATCTATAGCAAAACACCAAAGAAAAATAGCATACTTCTGTTATCTTATTTAGAGTTAAGGAATTTCAAAAGTACTAGTTGTGAACCAGAAAGCACCTTGCTCGCAAATACACCAGTATGGTAATCAATCTTCCGAGGATTTATGAGAACTCTTTGAGCTAATTTCCCAATCTCAGGATCAAAGCCAGGCATAAGCTGATCTAGTGCTTCAATAAAGGTAACCTGTGTAGCTAACTCCATGATTATATTGATCAAACTTCAGGGAAGAGAAAAGTACTGTACTGAAATTATACAGAAAAACAAAATAGAAGGATGAAAATCTAACCATAAAGTATAGGCAAACCACTTTGAAATGGTATTACTTGTGTCCACTAATAAATAGGAGAAGAAGCAAGAGCTTATATCTTCAAACCGTAAGATAGAACTAAGTAATTGTTTATGTTTATTACTGCCATAAGTTCCAAATGTACTGATAATAACATTCCAGATGATGTATACACATCATCACCCATTATTGGCCCTACCTCACTTCCAAGTGCTGTATACACATCACTAAATTCAAGACCAATGTAACCACTTCCTACAATAGCAATCCAATCAGGAACAAACTCCAGCTTGAGTGCATGGTCACTGGTAATCACAGTCTTCCCTGCACGGACATTACCAAGGTATTCAGTACTCCTATAAACAGACAAAGGAAATTTGAAAATTATCCACTCTGAAGTACTGAAAAAAATACCAAGGTTTTGGCCACAATCAAGAGGCAAAATATACGGTTAAATTGATTTTAAATTTTCTTTTATTGATAACAACGAAGTATATTAGCAATCAAAGAGAAAGTAGATGGCAAAAGGAGAAGGCAACAGTTACACGAGATGAAAGCTGATGGCTGTAATGGACAACAAAGAACAAAATAGAGAAACCTAAAGGATCTTTTTAATCAAGATGCAAAATATACCATTTACAAAAGAATCCCCAAAGAGAAATTTGAGTTTATTACCCTACCAGACCAGTCTTAAGACCTTGGTTTGGACAAGTTATCAGAAGAGAGTATGGTGACCTGGCAGAATATACTATTCAATCTGGACACCAAAGCACAAGCTCTCAAACATACTTGTGAAGGCACCAAGGATCTCCAAATTCATCTCTTGTCCCTTCAATCTCAATCCTCTCCAAACCATTAGCTTAATAAGGCCCGAGACATTAAACCAGTGACAATCTATGCCTTAGCTAAACCCCCAACAGCTACAAAATCACAAGACAGCACAGCACCACCAGACCAGACAAGGAACAACTACAAAGGGGGAAGTCATCAAAGTTAAGATTGACAATAGTCCATAGTCCATGCACCTTAGCAAGGAGGCATCAAGAAGGGACTTTGGAGTTTTAGCTGAGATTTTCCAATATGCAAATAAAAAATGTTTGTTGCAGCTATTAGTTAATCCATTCCAGGTGATCCATGCAGTGATGGGATGCAATCCTCTGAAAATGAGGCACAAGAACATTATACACCCTAATACCAAAAAATGATATTATAGACCCTAGTTGTTATGTGGTTCTTGTAGCCCCCGGACCACACATTTCCTGCTAACTTTCCTTCATATATGTGATACTCGGTAAATATAGTTTTTCTAACCACAGATTCCACTTGAGAGTGTAGTACTTGGTAGCTGGTAGTCCAAATTTGAGGAGCCCCAAAGATGATAAGAATAAAATTGAATTTTGATGGTTTCTGCCTTGGTAACCCAGATACTTTCTGGGGTTGGTCGTATCTTTAGATATTGTGTTGGAAATACAATGCCAAGCTACTCAAGTTTAGGAGGTGAAGGCATATCCTAAAGGCCTGAGCTTCTTTCTATGTTCTAAGTCCTAAAACTAGCCCGTTTTCTGGGCTGGAATCAGTGTTTTAAAAGTGCAGGGTGCAAGGCGAGGCACATGCCTTTTAGAAGGAAGCACATGATTTTTAAAAATTCAAGAAATGCTTAAAATTCAACATAAACAAAAAATATTAAAAATAGTATCAATTAAAAAATGCACTTTAATTTTAAACAAAATGTTTTAAAAAGTCTATTATGTCAAATTAAAACGCATAAACATAACATATAAAACATATTCAAAGTAAAAATGCAAAAATAAAATCAAACATATACAAGCATGTCAAACTTTTGATCTCTTGATTTCTTTCCCAATTGCATTATTTCAAATAGCTAATGTCCATTCCTAATCTGCCGAGTAGTGTTTCTACCTTTTTTTTTTTTTCTGAGAAACAGTAACAGAATTTCATTAGCAAACAGCCACCATGCCTCAAAAAGCACAAAATTTAATTGAGGCACAAAGTGCACTAGGCACACTGCACATGCCTTTAAGGGGCTGCACTTGGGCGTAGCAAGGTGGAGGCCTTGAAATGCACCTCACTTGCATGCCTAGGTCACCTTTTAAATCACCGGCTGGAATGACCTATGTTACCTGGATACATCAAGGACACAGCTGGATACAGCATTGAATACAAAAGTTACACTAAAAAATAAAGTATCCAAGTATCCAACTGCACCCTTGTACAGGTGTCTTGGTATTCTAAGGACTAGGGAATGACTTGATAGTGGAGGCCAGTTGTCAAGTGGTAATGGGTTGGATCCAAGCTAAAGTAGAGGATTCCTGGTCCTTGGACTTTCCATTTAGGAAGCAAAAATTTGTCAACTAATCTGAGGGCCAGATTGTAGCCTTATTTTCTGATCCTATTGGTGAGGGAGACTCCGTTAATGCAGAAGTCCAAGCTGTACTTAAAGAAGTAGAGATTGCAAAGGATCTGGATGTGGGACCTTTGATAATTGAAGGTGACTCTAAACTGGTTATAGGATGGCTGAAAGAGACAGTCAGAGTTCAATGAGAAAAAAGATCAGCAAATGGGATGGCAGATTTTCCAGCCAAACAAAGGGTACATAGGAATCAGTTCTTCTGGGCTCAACTGTAAGCTGTGTGATATAGTTCAGAGGCGGCATCTCGCACCTCATTGTGGGGACTTTGTTCTATGTAACCTTTTACTTGTGATTTTTATTTAATAAAATTCGATTACTTATCAAAAAAAGAAAAAAAGAATTGCTTATTCTGATGAGTCCTGAGATCTGCAATGTAATGGCTAACTTGAGCTAGGAAGGGGTCAATAGGGAGGACGATCTGGGACGCACCCCTTGATTACTGGTGCTGATTAAAAAGAAAAAATCTTGATGTTTAGGGTCTTTGATGCAAAGTAGTACCTTTTTTGAGGCAAAAGTTCAAATAATCTTACAGTACATAAGCATTGAAAGCAGCACTTACCATCAACTTCAATGCCTTTTGGCACAAAGGGGACAGAACCAGTAGCGATAATTATGTCTTTTGCTGTTATAACTTGGTCAGAGAACCCAACTTTTCCATACTTCACCTTTTGTGGACCCTAAAAAGATCCACATTACATCAGTATCAACATCACAACCAGCATGCAATTATATTTAAAGTAATGCAATAAACTAAAGGTGTAAGGTAAAAAATGTACAAATATGTGCTATTATACAGTCTACAATAAATAAAAATATCTATTTTACAGAATCTATATGAAAGCATGCTATTATTTACCAAAATAGTTCCAACGCCTGACAATATGTCCACACCAAGAGCTTTCAGTGAATTAGTCAAGTTATTACGAATTTTTGTAGCAAGATTATTTGCATGATCGGCTACACCCTGTCTGTCATACCCAGCAGCTGAAACCTATGTGGAAATTATAAGATGTCAGGGAAATATGAAAGAAGTAAATAGTTTCACTTAATATGATCACAGATAGTATATTGTGTAGCCACTAGAGGAGAGGACCATAGACACCTTGAACAAGGAACATACAGGAATTCAAGCACCATGACCTGACTAGCAGATCTGAGTGCCGCAACTACAGAGTTGGTTAATTGAAAGTGCTCCATAAGTGTATTATGCATGCTAAAAAGAACAGTACAGAAGAAGCAATAAATAAAGAAAATTTTAAACTATGAAGTTTTAGAGTTAGGACTTTTTTAGACTGCAATATGCTACTCTATGACATTACAATAATAATAATAATAAAATGCTTGTTTATCTGCCATAATGCAAGCATATGTTGGTGATAACATAAGAAAATATAAAAATATTTCCTGTACAAACTACAAAAAGAAGTTCTGTATCCGGAAATTAAAAGTTTTCGATCACCCAGAACATTGAAAAGTATTAGGATTTTTAGAACGACAAAAGCAATGCCAAGTAGAAAGTGCAATGCAGAAAAAGAATTGTGCAATAAGAAACCGACACTTAGGATGTACCTCAAGACTGCAAAGAAGTGTACAAAATACAAACCAGCATGCATTTAAAAACGGTTAAACAATCATTACTTTGTCCAAGAAAGGAATATATGATACATAATTTGTGTTTGCACATATTAATTCAACTTTTAGGTGCATAAACACTGGGGAAAGAGTGATTGCTACATTACCTGCAAACCCAGAGCTTTCAAGTGATGCTCACTTTGAAGCTCACGCATCCGACCACTCACAGCAAGAAGAGCTTTAGAAGGAACACAACCTCTATTTACACATGTGCCTCCAACCACATCTCCCTCAATTATGGCCGTTTTCAATCCCTACAGCCATTATTTGTCAACCTATTGGCTCATATGAATCTCAGAGAAGGAATAAAAGAAACAAAAGAGAAAAAAAGATATTCCACTCAAAATGCACTAAGCAAGTGTATATTACTAACTCCACGGATAGTAATAAGGAATCAATTCAAACCATAGAGTCAATGTAGGGAAAAAAATTCACCTAGCAACAAGTGTAAAGATAGAAAATATTATCCTAAAAAGCAGTTTATGAGAGACAGAAATATTTTTTTTTATAAATGAGAGAAACAGAAATATTCTTCTGCTTTTCTTTTCTTTTTTTCTTTTTTTGTGTGTGTGTGTGTAGATGCAATAGCATCTGCTATGCTCAATTGTAAACCATAATAGAAAATCGACGCATGATAAATGGTCTCCCTGACATTTCTACAAAGACAGTACTTCTAGCGAATACTATGCAGAACACCTTTCGGAGGAGGTCTAAAACTACAAATGCATATTGCAAGTCCACATGTAAATACACAAAAAAAACAGCGTTTCCAGGGCGAACATTTTCATTTTTCAGTAAATAGAAATAGAGCCATTCCATACACGATTAGGTTCTCAGTTCCTATCCATTAGAAGCAGGTCATTCGAGTGGAAGTTGAAACAGCAGTACTAGAGGTCTGGAACCACAATCATTAAGCACGCTGATTGAAACTCCACTTCATCAGCTAACAATTATTCTTAGTGATGACATCTCTCCTAATAATAGCTTCACTTCTATCTTGGAAGCCCTCTTCTTTGTTCCCATCTTACAAAATTAGAGACAGAGAAGGGGAATAAATGAAGTAAGATAACTAAGAGTCAAGGCATCAAAGTAAGCATTCAGTATGAAGTAACTAACAACAACATTTCAAATGCTATATTAGCTAGTCACTACGTAGCCAATTCAACTAAACAAAAGCAACAAACTCTGCATTTTCATGTCAAAGAAGCACAAAAGTAAGTCCGCTATGAACGATATATAGATCTTAGCGCTTCCAATAACCAGTTTCATTGCCAACTGAGCTAAACCAACGTTAACAAGCTCTAATTTCAAGATCCAGTCAAGGAAACAAGGCAGAAAACCTTCTCTACGGCATGAAGTGCAGCTCCGTGACCTCCGACACCAGCTCCAATTATGACTAGATCGTAGTCAAAGCCTTTCGAAGGAACTCCGTTGTCCTTCAACGAAGCAGAGAACTTCTTATAGAACCTCCGCTGTGACAATGCAACTCGACTAGAACCATGAGGTTTTGTAATAGATAACCCCAAAGCCTCTCTTCTGAGGCCACAGAAACGGAAACTTGAAGGCTTAGAAGCATTGGTGGAGAATGATCCGACTGCGCGATCGGATCTGGCAACGGCGGGTGAGGAAGGAGAAACGGTGGAGAGAGATATCAAAGCCTGCATTTTCTTTAATTCTTGGATGCACGTCGGAAGATTGGTTTCACTTTTCAGGCGAGAAACGAGAGAAGAGATTTGAGAAAGAAATGAAAAGGGGCTCAGAATCAATATGGTTTAAGGGGGGGTGGCTTTTTGCTTGCAGCAGAGGCGGAGTTATCGAAGTGTGGTAGATAAACTACTCTTTCGCTGCTTACTAACGAAACTATATTTCGCCACTTCTCCTCCGGTCCGGTCCGCCCTTCGGCGCGCGCTCTCTCCCTCTCTCTCTCCCCACTTCGAATTTGGATTAATGGGCATATGGGCTGCAACATGATCCGATCTTGAATTTGAACCTGGATTAGGTCATTTGGGTTCGATCCGACTTGAATTTGTACTCGATCCTTCGTCGGATTCAGATGTCAATTTAACCATAATCAATTTGAATGATTTTAAAATGAGGTCCATTTATTGATTGATTTAAGTTTGCATAATTTTTAATTTAACTTTTTGTATTATGAAACGATACAGAATTAAAATTCTTCAGAACTGGGTGGAAGTGTGGAACTTGGGATTTAGATATACCTAACTAGATTTTATTAATATGAGGGGAGAAAAGGATGATTCTCAAGTCTCAACTGATGAATATTTACATCATTTACTAGTCATTTGTGCATTTTGCAGCTATTTTGGATACAAGCAAACAAAGGCTCCAATCATCCTTCAAACGGATCGGACCGGATTCGGTAAATGGTATATCCGGTCCGATCTGATAAGAAATTCCATCCATTTGAATTCGAATACCTTATTGGATATCTGATTTGATTAAATTTGTAATAAAAATTGTATGATGTAATAAAAATAATATATTATAATATATATTATATAAATAATATATATAATATAATATTTCATAACTAATAGATTGGATTGGGATATATTCAAATTCGACCTGTTTCCTAAATGGATCAACCTTTTCTATTCGATGATCAAGGAAGTATGCAAATCCGTATTTGAATTTGGAATTTTGGATCAGATCCAATTAACTTATTCGCAGCCCTACAATCGTCAAAAGTTAATGTTGTCAACAAACCCATATAGCAGAATACAGAATTATGGGGTGAAGAATGGATGCTTAGACCTTATCCCAAGAGACCTTTATATAGATTAATGAAAATACAATATTTATAAAGAGGCCCTTCTGAGTAACAGAATATAATTACATTTGTAGAATTGAAGAAAAAATAATAAAATATGCATCAATTAGATACAATACAATATTAGTGAGTTTCTTCACAAATATAGCAATGGTAGAATTAATGGTACAAAACTGGCAGCAAAGTTCGAATGTGGACCAAACAGAACTGTTAGGTAAGTGGATGGTGTTTGCCCCGTTTATTTGGGATAACAGAACAAGGCTGTTATCAAAGTAGTTAAGCCAAACCCAATAAGAATTCAAGATTGGAGCTATTAGTACCTACCAAACTCTTGCACCCAAAGACCTCCACATTAGTATTCCTATGCTGCAAAATAAAGCAACAGTCATATGCATGACAACACTTGTTTTTCCATTTATATTGATGGTGTAAATAAATATTGTTCATCATGACTGCGATGGCAATGAATGTATCAAATCAAAGGCATAGAAATACCCATGGTGATACACAAGTCAACTAATACTCACGACGAGTTTACAATTCGGCATGAACCTATAATGAGTTTAAAGTCACCACAGATCTGCGATGAATTTAAAGTCATCACAGACTTGCAAAGAACTCAAAGCCACAGTAGACATACGACGAGTTCAAGGTCGTCATGAACCTTCTATGAGCTCAAAGACATCGCAAACCTGCGATGAACTCAAACCATCACGAACTGACGATGAATGAAAATACAACGATTAGCTAAAATCGTTCATGACAGGACATCCAGTAAGATTAAGTAGGGCACGTCACTACGTCAGGCTAACCCTGACACCACTCATGCCACACCAATATAAGAGACCCGCAAAAGGAAGTAACACACATGTAATATGAGAATCAAAGATCCCCTGACAACCGATACTGAATCAAATATCCCATTTCCAAATAGGAATCAAATTCTTTTGGCTCCTTCCCTTCAGAACCTCAGTATCTCTCCCTATAAAAAGAGGCATAAATCATAACGAACACATAACTCTGTCAATAGAAACTCGTAGCCTACGCTTACTCTCAGCCTTGCTTCATCCTTCAAGAAAACCACTACATTTAGCCTTACCATACCACTCACAGCTGGCTCTTTTGTAAATTTGCATAAACCCGCAATAAGAGATGTTAATTTTTTGCCATCCAACTCTAACCGTGGAAATTGGATACCTTTGCATTGCTTAATAGTTAGTACAAGCTGAATGCGGGCTCTCCTTTGTGCACTAACTCAAGCACATGTTCTTGGGAAACACAAGATTCGAATCTTTGTGGTTGCCCAAAATATAAATAGGGGTGAGCAATAAAAACCGAAATAGCGAACTGAATTCAAAATCAATCGAAATCGAATTGAACATCCAATTTAACCTAATCGACCTATTTATATGTATATTTATATATATTATATATTTTTTTATATTATAAATTAATAAATATATATTATATACAAATATATATTTATAATATATAATATATTATTTATTATTTAAAATATAACATTATATATATTTCTAGTTTTTATAATATATTTTGTAAATATAAAAAAATTGAAAAACCATCGAATCAAACCAACAATTAGCTGATTGGCACTGTTATGGCCATCGGTTTTAAAAACTGGTTTCAATTAACATATCCAATAACACATAGATCCAATGTTTTAAAAAATGACTCAAAACTGGAACTATTATGGCCATCGATTTTTTTTTCGGGTTGATGGTTTGATCATTTGGTTCGAATAGACAATCTATTATGACAAAAAAAATTAAAATAAAAAACAGCCAAAAACCATTGAACGGGTCAAATAGATTGACGATTCAACTGCCCTAGTCAATAGGTCATTGACCAATTCAACGATTATTTGTCAGGGACCAAGTTTGGGATAAAACAAAACTAATTGCTTAGATGATTCTCAGGCCAAACGATCCGACCATCTGAGTCAACAGTGGTTCAAAAGCCATGCATAAATTATTTATTAGTTTAGTGGCATCAAAATTTATTTTCAATTTGTCTCGCTTTGGGGGGATCCATTTTACTAAGGGCGGAGCCAAGTATACGGGTCCTTGGCCCCCCAAACCTTTTGTTAAATCATTATTTATATAGGGTTATTGGGGCAAAATGTAATAAATTGGGTCCCCTCCCCTCCCCCCCCCACCAAAAAAAAAAAAAAAATCTTGAATTAAAACATAAAGGATCATACTCTAACTCTCCTCCAACCCCCAAAATAAGAAAAAATGAAATTATTTATTTTTCTTTAAAAAATATGTAATAGATTCAAACCTTCTCAAACAAATTTTCCCTATACCCTACTTCTTCTGCTCCCTATCTCATTTTCCTGTTCAACTTGCTCCCCCTCCCATCCCAAAAAAAATCCTGGCGCCACTACATTTTACCCATATGTTTGGTTTTTCATGCCTTTCCTTATATTGATTCATCTTCCTTTGGGCTTCGATATATTCTCTACAAATTAGTAATGCTTGATCTATGATTCGGGTGGGTTATAATTCTCGTTTTTGAATATTTTTTCATTTCTATTTTTCTATGGGCACTACATGGTATAACCTATTTTTCTCCGACATCGTATCCGATTCTTTTAGGTGTTTGTTTATGAATTTCATCCAACCATTCTATAATGCTTTGGTGTTTTTTCTAATTCGGCCTACAATATTATTACCCATTGTTCATCTTCACCGTACTTGGTCTTGCTATCTCGTAGTTAAAGAAGATGTGCATTGAATCCTCTGCCTCTCCACATATTTGGCAATCAGGATGTTAGAACTCTATCTTTGGAGGGCACATTATATTGTTAATTTTTTTCATTGCATTTCATTTGGCTTTTCCTCATTATTAGCAATGAAAACGGGGCGGGTTTGGGGTGGGGAGTACATTCCTCATCGGAGACCCGAATCCCCGAATTCCCCATCGGCGATGATGACGAAGGTTGGTGGTCGGTGGTCGGTGAATTGGTGACGAAGATGAAGTCTCTTCCTCAATTCTCTGGCCTCTATCAAGATTTGAGACTCGAATATCTCTTCCTCTCCTCTATTCGATGTCCGACGGGCAAGTGGGCAGAAGTGATAGTTAGCGATGGCGGTCGGTGGTCGACGAATCGACAACGAAGAGAATTATAGGGTTTACTAGTTCTGTGGTTCAGTCGCCTCTCTTGAGTATTGACTCTGTCGAAGAACGAAGACTGGTTTAGTCGAGGGTTAAGGGTTTTCTAACTTTTCTTGATTTCTTCGAGTTATGTTTTAGTTTTTACTGTTTTATGAATAAATTAATAATTATTATACTTATATAATATTATATATTATATAATATATATATAATACTAATCGGGGATGGGTCGGGTCAGGGATTGCATTCCCTGTCCCCATCCCATCCCCGACTCCGACCCCGCCAAGGTAGCCCCCATCCCCGACCCGATGGGGTCGAGGAGCCCGGGTACCCGTCGGGGACAGGGAAAATTGCCACCCCTACTCATTATTCATAATCTCATTGGTAGATTTTGCTGTAAGTTCCCCACTAGGTTCCCCACGTTATCTCACCATCTTTATCATCTAAGGGAAGTACTATCGATTTAATTTTATGTATCACTTCCTTTGAGAGTAGTTGTTTCATTTTAACTTGGTCCCAACTTCTGGTCTCATTGGAGATTATTTCACTTACTGTGAATTCTCCACAATCCCAGTTATATTGTGGGTGTTATGTATGGTATCTATAGCTAGGGTGATTAAACATTCGTCCTTTCATAACTTGCACCTCCTGCCATTTTGTCACGGGGGTCGTTCTACAGCGGAAGAAACCCGTGCGATGTCCAGGCCAAGGTAGGCCAGGACAAGCCTTTGTGTGATGCGAGGCTAGGAGTTGCTTGATGAGATGGCTCCACCAAGGTCAGTAGCACTGGATCAAGTCACATGGCCGGGGGCACTTGGCTGGCTCTGGCCATCCATGGGAGGCGCCTCTTACGTGCTAAAGGGGGAAGGCCATGATGTGAGGCGACTGTGCGCCAAAGAGAGGTGACTGGGCACCAATGTGATGGGTCTCCTGTATGCCGATGATATGGGCACCTGTGTGCCATCATGAGAG